CGCCGGACCCCCAGCTTGGAGGGGTCCCTGATAGACCCCCTCCTGGGGTTGTCCCTGGTAGCCCCCAACCGTATGAAGGTCCCTAATACCCCTGAGGGGCAAGTTAATAGCTCCCGGGGGTGTCCCTAACAGCCTGCAGCCACTGAGGGTCTGGTAGCCCCCAACCCGGCCAGGCCGTAGCCAAGGAGTGGGACGGAGGGACCTGCCTCCCCTTGTGTCCCTGTGACCCAAAGCCAGGTCTGCCCGGGTGCTGCTCACACCTCCCCCGGGCACCAGCTGTCCCCCAGGATGGCCCCAGCATCTTGCTGGGGTCCAGGGTGGCCCTTGGGTGGGCGCTGGGAGCAGCGCCCATGGAGCAGTTACATCAGGAGGTCTGAGAGGCTGCGCCTTGAGTGAGGAGGCTGTGGGGAGCTGTGGGGGAAGCGACCTTTGCAATGACATGCAGTGGGAGGTTGAGCTCCTCAGAGCCCTGAAGGAACAGGATACCAACCGTTCAGCCCTAAATTATAAGTTTCGTAGGAACTGCTTCACCCTGAAATGCAGCAGCTGTTTGCCACTGCCCAGTGTTTTAGGGCGGGAGGCAAAGGAGGGTCCTGCGAGCATGGTGACAAGGGGACCATGGGGAGGGAAGATGCAGCGGTCTGCACTGGGATTTGGCTGGGGCAGTGACGATAACATCCTGTAGCCCGTCTGAAAATGCTGCATCCTTCGTAGGTGATGGTTTGTTTGCTGGAGAGATGCTTTGAGCAACATTATTGCTTTTTGCGGGCTATTTTGTCTGGTCCGGGCAGGTGAATCCCTTAGCAGGGACCCCAAAACCTCCTCCTTCAATACATGTGTACGTATGGGTGGGAGGACTTCTCTCCCCATCTGAGAAGTCTTTCATGCAACTCTCGACCCAACACAACCTTGCCAAGCTAAAGAGTCAAGCTGAAAGTGGAATGGCCCCTGTCCATCACACCCACACAGCTGGATGGAGTCTGCACCATACCTTCGCCACTCTCATAGCAGAGCTGTTTAACCCCTCCCATCTCATTATAGTAATACATTTATGATATCACCTTCGAATTTCCTGCCCTTAACAACCCCAGAAGGCGGGGAGGGAATGAAGCATTTTTGGAAAGTATTTAATGTTACTTCAAGAGGGCAGGAGGCAGTCGGAAAATAGATGGGTTGCAGGAACCCTGGGTGGACGGGGCTCTCTGCAGGACAGCCGAGGAAAAGGACCGCACCTAGCGAGAGGTGCGTGTTTGCCTTTCCTACCTGGGGCTGCAGCCCAGGTCTAGTGCCTATTGCCTCACTCCCTTGCTTGGAAAGTGAAATAGGGCTGTCGTTTACCGCCCGCTCATTTGCTAGATGTACTTGACTCCTTGCCCTCCTGAAGGGCTTGAAAAGCAGCCTGGGTGCTGTAAAACGACTCAGCCTATCTATTAATTTGAACATGCGCTGCAGGGACCTTGCTTAGCACAAAGCTGAAGGCCCCCAGACCTAGGGAGGGAAGATGAAGGTCCCCACAGCCGGGCTGGTATTTCTGGAGGCTTCTGCTCTCTTGACAGCAGGTAGCAGAGGCAGGTGCTCCAAGGTGCAAAGTAACAGCCTGAGCTATTACACACTCAGGATTGAGTGTGTGCACTCAGTTCTCCCATACACGCATTTTAAAAGGCTTTTTGATTCTTAGTGCTCCAATGTTGCCTTAGAGGAAGGAGCCTGGAAGGACAGAGAGGAGTGCAGTGACAAGTCCATACAAAAACGGATGTTTCAACTCAAAACTGCCAGGTAGCGGAGAGGAAGGGACGCGTGAAGTGAAGCTGCAGTGTCAGCCAGGGGATTTTTCTGAGCTTGCACTTTTTCTCTCTGTAGGTGTTCATCTCGGTGGGGCCACACTGACCATGCTCAGGAGCTTCTGTCTTCAGCTGATGTCCTTGATTTGGATCCTCTTGGCCCATCACCAGCTTGCCCAAGGTAAGTCTCTGTAGACATGGAGCCTTCTTTCTTATATCTATCTTTCCAAACCTGTCCTTGGCATTGCTGATCTCCTCAGTTCTCCACGCAAAATAGAGTTGGCCTGACCTGGAAGACCAGAAAATGCTGCTTAGTCATCCAGCACCTGGCGGGTGACTGGTGGCAACTGTAACACCCTGTGCTGGTGCCCGTGAGGCTGGCAGTGCCCGAGCAGACCAGCAGTGAGAGGTCCCGCTGCTCTGTCTCTCACGCTTAGAGTGAATGGGTGCCTGAACCAATAAGCCTGTTTGGAGAGGCAGGGCAGGTAGGAAAGAAGATCCTGAAACTGAATGGCTAATCCGGGATCCCGTGAGAAAAAATTCCTTCCCAAAGCTTAGTTTGATTTCCCCCTGTTCTGGATAAGCGATGAATTCCCAAAGCCATCTGCCAGGAGAGATGGTTACAAATAAGAAAGGCAACAATACCCAGGCTTGGGCTGAGCAGTCCCGGGGTGCTGCTCCAGCTCCGCAGTGGCTTGTTTTGGGAGGCTCTCACCCTGAGCAGTGGGACGTGCCGCCTTACTGCAGCAAAAAGGCATGCATGCGGATGGGGGATTTCTCCCCCTGCTCGCTTCCTAGGCAGCACATCGCACAGCTTGAGGAAAGCCTGAGCGTGCCTTGTGGTGTGGGGGCTTTAACCTGCCCCAGCCCAGGATGGAGGGGCTCCATCAGGTAAGGGTGTTCGTCTCCTGGGCCTGGCCTGGGATCACACTGATTCCTGCCTCCTGACATTTGCTCTAGCTCTACTGCCCGTGGAGCCGGAGCGAGCCAGCTCCCCGTGGGGCTAAGATGCAAGCAGGTGCTGGGGGAGAGGGGAAGGTTGAGATGAAAGGGGACACCTGGCTGGAGAAAGCAGGCCAGCGCCGAGTGGAGGATGAGAAGTGGCACGGCGAGGCCGTGGCTCAATTGCAGCTTCTGGGGCCTTTAAATTAATAAACAGAACTGGATACCGGGCCCTGTGCGATGCCCTGTCCTGCCTCCCCGTGCCAGAGGGGGAGTGCTGACGGCTGGGTCCTGGCAGAGGGCAGGAGCCCCAACCAGGCTACTCTGTGCCAATAGCCGTCCCTGGGGATGGGGACATCATGGGAGATAAAGAGGAGCCATTCTTTCCATTTCCATCCTTGGTCCCTTTGTGCTGCTCGCAGTACCTGGCCCTGAGCTTTCCCACCATACTTGCTGCATGACCGTGGGACCAAGGTCCCAGGTGGGTCAGGTCTTATTACACAGATTGCCTTAATGCATGGACAAGCCCAGCTCTTGTCCAGAAGGGCCCAAAGTCTAAGGGAGGCAGCAGAGAGAAGGTGGGAAGATCATCAGAGAGCGGGTAGTTTTGAAGCAGCGTCCCACTTCTCAATAAAGGCAGTGTTACCGCTGCTTGGGTGACTGCGAAATCCTCATCTCTCATGTGGCATCCAGCCATTGAAAGGAAGGTCCCCCACCTTACAGTTCTAGGGAAGGGCTGGCTGAGCACTTAGGAAGGAAAAAACCTGTGAGCCAGCAGGGCCATGGGCAGATCTGGAGTCTTCTATGGTCTCTGCTTAACCCAACTCCACCCATCTCCTGCCTTGCAGGTGATGACTGCAGCGAGCGCTGTAATCTCGCCCACGGCTGCTGTGACCAGGATGGGAAGTGCAGGTATGGCTTGTCCTTGGCTCCGCGCCTGCTGCCCCTGACTGTAACTCCCTCCCTTGATGCTGTGTCCCCAGTGCCTACACCCCTGCCCCAAGTTGAAGCACCTTCTCCTCTGCTCGCCCACGCCTGGAATCAATGAATCTGCTCTCTTTTACCTGACACCCTCTGGAGCAGGAAATTTTGATCCCTCAACCTCTTGCTGGTCCCCCTCAACCTTTGCTCCAGTACTTCCAGGGTCCCTCCCACCACACACTGACCGATGTCGTTCTGCTGAGTCCTTTTTGTCTAGACAGGAGCTTAGGACAGCCCAGCCATGCCTGGGTGATGGGAGGCAGTCTTCAGGCTCAGATTCGATGGCGAAAGTCATCAGGCAGCAGGGCAGGCTGGATCCCAAATCGGCTGGATTGCTCGGCCTCCTCACTGGTTAAGATGGGGATGATCTCCCTGGGGGCATGGAAGAGAAGAGCTGCCAGTGTGCACATAAACGTCTGGGGGCATCAGGGTTCCCCTCTCAGAAGCCTGGGCTGTGGTGGGGATCTCCAGGTGTTTTCACAAAGGGCTCGCCAGCAAGCTGGGGGCTACCACAGCAGAAGTGCGTGTGTGATCCCTGGCACCCCAGCTCCAGCTGGTGCCCAGATCCTGCGCGGGCAAAGCTCAGAGCCTGACCCTGCACTTCAGCCTGGGAAGCAACCACATGGCTGCCCTGGGCTGCCATGGCCCTGGACACTGCCTCTCGTCCCACCGCAGGGCCACCCGGAGCCCCCACCCTGCAGGGCAGCCCCCGGCTGCTTTGGGCTGGCCCAGACGCCTGTGCTGCAAGGGGACAGACTGCCCACCGCCGCCCCGTTCTGCTCGCTGGGGCATGCTCAGCCCCCTTTCACAGCACAGCCCCCAGTGCCACGCCATGCCTGGGCCGTGCGTTCTTGCCTAACGGAGCAGCCGTGGCCCGGCGGTGAACCACACCGACTGCCGCATCAGGGAGCGTCCAGCTCTGGTTTTGGTCGGCCCCTGGTTGCAGCTGCAAAGAGCTTGCTCCTCCCTGAGCCCTTCCGGCAGCTGGGGCTGGTCGGGGGAGCTCGGTGCCGCGAAGCCGCGGCCAAAGACTCCGCACTTCTTCTTGTGGCGGGTGGCCCAGCTGCAGGTCTTTCTGGTGGAGGCACGGGTGAGTTGCTGCTCCAGATTTTAGGCCTCCAGAGCATTTGCTGACCCCTTCAGCAGCTTGGCAGTAACCCACTGAAATCACCACAAACTCAGGGAGACTTGGCTGCTTGCCTGGGCCCCCTCCCTGGCAATTTTTAAGTTGGGCATCTCCCTTTTAGAGAAGGGGAAGGGTTGATGGTGCCTGCTCCCTGCGGGTACTGGGGGGTAGGGGTGCACACAGCCCTCTTGTAAGCTCATGACTGTCCAGGTATGAAAGCATTTCCCCAGACTCTATCAGGCACCTGGTATTGCCACCATTCCTGTCAAAACACCTCTAATTAACTTACACATTTTGTGGTTATTTTTTTAATAAAAAAATTAAAAATAAGAACCATTTAAAAAAAAATAGTTATTATTTTAACCATTTTCCTCACCTCTTTGGAACAACCTGCAGTGATATCTTGACTGTGGATGGCAGTTCAGATGTGAAAGTTCAGCATCGGACCAGCCTGGCAAAGCTGCAGTCGCTGCACGTTGTGCTAAAATGACCCCCAGCCATGAAAATGAACTCCCTTGCTTACTCTAGAGACTGCGTTGTTTTTCTTAGGTTTAATTTCATGCTGTTTTGAGTATAGCTTTTGTTGCAGCTGGTGCCACCTCCACTCAGCTCTCGTCTTGTTATCACTTGCTTTCCCCTTGGAGCTGGCAGGTCTGAAGGAAGCCACTGGAGCAACACAGCTTGGCTTTACTTAGCCACCACGGCCTCCGCTCTTCTGGGACTAGAAGGCTCATTGTGTGCTGCAGGTTTTCCCATCATACTGCCCTTGTGAGCTGGCCGCTAAGTCTATTCCATACGCCAGCCACGGCAAGTGGGGTTTTGCAGCTGGATTACGGTGCAATTCAGACGAAAAATGACATCTGTTATAACGCAAAGGGGCGCAATGAAACGCACGGGGCTCAGGGGCCTCTTGTCCCTTTCCCTCAGGGAGTTCAGGGTTAGGGATGGGGCTTTTCTCTGCCCGGCACACTGGCTGTGCGATGAGGGAGGCGCAGGAGTTGCTGAGCTAATGCAGTGGTGTATATGGAGTGGTTGGCTGGAGGAGAGCAGTGGGACGTGGGCACTAAAAGTGAAGTTGCTGAGCTCTGTTTTTACCCCCTCAACCTCCATGGCTGCAGAGGGTGAGTCTCTTCCTGCTCTATCCGCTTGCTTCCTTGGAAAGATGAGATGCCAGTACTGACCTCCTCTGGAGAAGGGAGCCAGCAGGTTCGTGGGGGGCTTTGGGAGGGTTTCCCAGCGCCACCGTATTTGCAGGAACCCTGCACAAGCAGCCAGCTTTTCCGCAGCCCCTGCTTGGGTTTTATCACGCTGCCATGCCTTGTCCTCCTGCAGGTGTGATCCAGGCTGGGAGGGCGAGTACTGCGAGGATTGCGTGCGTATGCCAGGGTGTCTCCACGGGACGTGCCACCAGCCTTGGCAGTGCATCTGTCACACCGGCTGGGCCGGCAAGTTCTGTGACAAAGGTGAGTCGTGGGCTGGACATCCCAGCCCCCGGTGTTGAGGGCAGAAGCCCAGCACACCCTGCATGACTGGGCGAGCCGGCACAGCCAGAAGCCACCCAGGTGATACTGCCTGGGCTGCTCGGGAGATGGCATGTTGCCTGGCTGCCGCAGTTGGGACCATCCCCTTCCTGCAGCAGAGGTCAGGCTGCCGGCACCTGCTCCCTGGTTGCTGCAACACTGGCCAGCCTCAGGAAATGGAGCCGATGAACTCATTGCCTTTCCCACGCTGCGCCTGGGCTCCAGCAGCACCTCCTGCTTCCCCTGGGGCTTCCTGCCTTCAGCAGGTGGCCAGTGGACTCCCCTCCTCCGGCCTCAGAGGCTCCTCTGTGCCATGGGGTCTGCACTGGCCGGCCAGATGGTGTGCACAGCATCTTCAGGTCACACAGATTTGCAGGACGATTTGCTTTCTCTGCACCCCCAAGCTGTGCATTTTGCAGGCTGTAGCTGGGAGGTACCACGTAGGTGCTGCACTTCTACTGCTGCAGGTGCCCATGGGAGGGGAGGCGGGAGAAGCTCCTCCCATTTCTCCATCCCCCTTGGGTTTGACAGGCTGTGTTGGAACTGAATTGACCATATTGCTTCTCTTTTCTTGCCAATTTCCACCTTTTTCTTTCCCCTCAGACATACACATCTGTGAACACCAGTCCCCATGCCAGAATGGGGCTCAGTGCATCTACGACCGAGATGGGGAATATTCTTGCCTGTGTCCAGAAGGCTTCCATGGGAAGGACTGTGAGATGAAGACGGGGCCATGTGAGAAGGCAGGGTGAGACATGGCAGCAGGGGCAGCAAGATTACAGGCAGCGTTAGCTTCAGGTCATGCACTGCGAAGTGGTGGCCCAGCTTCATTTTTTATCTGTGGATTTCCATGTGCTAATGGAGTTAAGCCAAAGCCATCTTTGGCTTTGGTTTAGCTGCATGCACCACAGGATCCTGCTGGGGAAAGATGTTTGTTGCGATCTGAACAGATTCCCATTCCTTGCCACTGTAGGTGTGATGAGCTGACACCTATCATGTTTTTGGGGAGCATCAGGAAGGCATGTTTCCTCTTCAGGTCATTTGGCTGAAGACCCTCCCTGAAGGGTGGTGGGTGTGTGCACAGCCACAGCCTTTGAGGAGGTCCCACAGCTTCTTATGTGGGGAGGCGGAACTCCTGCCCCATCTTCTTGAAATAGCTGCCCTCATTGAGGGAAACAGTGCTGGACGCACTGGCTACACGAGCAGCTGTCTGTGTTTACCTCCCTGGGGCAGGGGAAGTTGCTTGCTCTACAGGGCCATGACCTGTCCTTGCTCTCTCCACGCAGGTCTCCATGCAAGAACGGTGGGCAGTGTCAAGATGAAAACGGCTTTGCCAGTAACTTCACCTGCCGGTGCCTCGCTGGCTTCGTGGGGGCTTTCTGTGAGAATGATGTGGACGACTGCCTGATGCGTCCCTGTGCCAACGGTGCCACCTGCCATGACGGGATCAACCGCTTCTCCTGCCAGTGCCAGGTGGGCTTTGAAGGGCGTTTCTGCACCATCAACATCAACGACTGCGCCAGCCAGCCATGCAAAAACGGGGCAAAGTGCTACGACCGCATCAATGACTATGACTGCTTGTGTCCTGACCGTTTCACTGGCAAAACCTGCGAAATCTCCGTTCCCGAGCCCACCTGGGCTCTCCCCTACCAGTCTGTGAACAACGAGAATGGTGGGGTGGTGAAAAGCACCACCAGTGAGATGCCGGGGGTGACACAGCCAGAGCCTGTCAGGACCGTGGTCACGGGGCGGCGTGTGGCCAACCATAGTGAGAAAGAGCTAGGGGGAGGGTTATTGAAAATCTCTGTGAAGGAGGTGGTAACCCAAAGAGACTCGGGGCTGAGCGAAGCCCAGCTGGTAACAGTGCTGGTGTTCGGGGTGCTGACAGCAGTACTGGTCCTCATCACTGTCCTGCTAATGCTGAGGAACTGGCAGAAGGGCCGTCAGAGGTCGAACTGGTGCCAAAGCCCTTCGCAGGCTGAAAGGAAGCTCCAAGACCAGGAGTGTCAGGTGGGCATGCTCAACACCGTCCTGATCGAGCCCAGGAAGACGACAGAGCTGTGAGCTGTGAGGACGCTGAGCCGGGCCCTGGCAGGTCATCATGCTGGCAAACCTCTCGAACTGCACCCTGGGGAGCTGCACCGGCACAAGGGAGGCAGCAGGGAAGGGCTCCCAGAGCAGCAGAAGTGTCAACGAAAGTCCAGGTCGTCGAGCGTTGGTGCGATGGCCCCACCTGGGTCTGAGCCATCTCCCACTTGGCCAGCGCAGGCGGTACCCACGGGCATTGAAAAGCAGGGCTGTGTTGGGCCAGCCCTGCAGGAGAGTGGTGATGTGCTGCTTGTGGCAGCCCGCACCATGCAGAACCAGCACTGCCTGACGTGCACAGACGCGAGCTCTCACAAACAGGACGGGTAGTGCTGGAGAAGGGCACAGCCTTCTTGCAAGCCCAGATTCTGCCAGGCCCCGTGTAACTTTGTGACTCCTGGAAGGGGCTTTGCCCTCTTGTTTCCACTGGTGTTAGGATGTTTCTTCTGGGGCCTTTGGGACAGTTGTGGCTGCATGGTTCTCCCTACCCCGGTACTGGATGGGGTGGCTCCCTGCTGTTTCTGGAGGCTGTCATTTCAGATGCCATGTCCCCAGGGAGCAAAGAGATTTCCTCACTCCTTGGCCTTGTGGTTCTGTGAGCCAGTTTGAAGAGACTCTGGAGATCATTTGGGGTCTCCTCATGCCCTTCTTCTGCCCTGGGTGATGCCCCCTCCTCTTGCTGTCAAAGTTGGGGTTACAAACATGTTCTGTACTTTCCTCCTGATGATCCAGGGGTCTTCTCCCCCCACTTACCAAGCCGTCCTTTCTGGTCTGGCCACAAATGACAAAGCTCCTTCCCCGGTCCAGTGTGCACTTCTGCTTCACCATTTGTTGATGGAGAGGAGCATGGCCTGCTCCTCTCTGGGGTCCTCAGGGCCTGAGCTGGTCCTTCTCATATGCCCTTGCAGGTGAAACTGGAGATGGACAAGGCTGGATATGTGCTGTGGCTGGTTCAGGAGCAATACAAGATCCAGATCTGCCTTTCTTCTCCCAGGCACTCTGAGATGGCACTAACCTCAAATCAGCCATTGTAGTGTTTCTTGATACAACAAAGCTCCCCGCATTAGATGTGAGGACAGGCTACCAAGCCTGGGATGACCATAGGAAGCAGATGCAGTACTGCCTTCCTCACCAGTGCTAAAGTACAGCTAAGAGGCAGTAGATGGTCAGGTCACATAGCCTTTGTAGTAGGTCTGCTTCTGCCTGTGCTGGTCTGGTGTGCAGCAATCAGCACCCCTGCTGGGGCCAAGGTTTTCCATGCCTCCTCATGGGCACAGAGGGCTAAGCAGTGGGGTAAAAAAACCCCACAACCCAAATTCTACTACTGGCCTGCAGGGTTGCAGAGCTGGGTTCAAGATGGTGCAAAGAGAACAGAGAAAGGAGTGGGCACTCAGCGAGCAGGGAGACCTGGGAGAGGGGACTGGAGCTTCATCAGAAAGATTATTTTTTTAATACATGGATGGATGGATGATGTACCTTTATCAAATAAAATAAATACAAGCCCAGAAACAGTGGATCAGAGAATTATAAAATAATTAAGGTTGGAAGGGACCTCTGGACACCAACCTCCTGCTCTCAGCAGATCCAATTAGATCAGGTAGCTCAGCTACTTGTTCTGGATGAGTGTCTCCATCACTTCCTCAAGAATGCCAAGCCAGATTGTGGCACAGGAGTTGCGCTGCCCCATGCTCTGGCTGCAGGGGTGGAGATGGCTCCTGCAGCCTCAGGGGAAGGAATGGGACCTGCCTCAGGACAGCATAGCAAAGGTGTGTACCCACTAGGCATTGCCCAAGACCGAGTCCAAGGGTGCCCAGGGGAAGAGCAGTCTGATACTAAAATTGAAAACCGCTGTAGGTTTGTGCAGCTGGGAGCAGGGCAAGAGGGCTAGGGAGTTTCCCTTGGAAAAGTGGTCTTGAAATAAACTAGCATCAGAGGCCTTTAATGTAATCACATTCTGGCCCTTCAGGGGAAGGCCTTCTCCACTGTAAATGCGAGGAAGAGCAGCAAGGTCCCTGGGTGCAACCTTCTGGACTTGGAAAGGTCAGTGCCCTCTGAAAGTAGTAGGGAGCAGGTAGGGTTGTCTTTGCGCAGAGAGGGCACCACTCCTGTATCTCACAAGGAGGTCTGTGTCTTGGGGGGAAAGGGGACAGAAACCTGAATAATGGAACTTCACAAGGATGTTTCCACTTTATTTTAAATTACACATGTGAGACTAAGTGTCAGACTAAGAGTCACTAATTCTTCAGTGAGCAGAAAAGCCCTCTGTAATCTCAAAGGGGAGCCTTGGAGGGGAGCAGTATCCCACTGGCCAGGCTTGCATCACCCTAAACACCAGGTTCCATCTTCCCTATTGAAGGAAGAGCAGCAGTGTCATGCCCCTGTCCCTGAGGACACATAATTGTTGCCTACAGGCAGGAATAACACCTTCCCTCACCTTACCAGCTCCTGGCCCTGCAGGGACATTGCAGCTGGCTGAGGCGAGAGGAAAGCCAGCCACAGAGTCAGGAGGGCTGCATGGGCTCAGCCCAGGAGGGAGGTCATTGCTGGCCACTGTGCAGGAGGCGCTGGAACAAGGAGCCATCTTTCTGGCTTAGGTGGGTGGGTGATCCCAGCTCTGCCACTCTCCCAGCTTGCATCACCAGCACACGGTCCGAGTCCAAGATAGTGTTCAGCCTGTGGACAGCAAACGCCAGGACACATGTTGGTGGATCGGAGGAGAAACACTGAATCTGCTTCCTCTGCTGTCAAGGGGTCGCCTAAGACATGCTCAGCACCAGGACCTGCAGAGCTTCTCCCTGTGCAGAGACACACTGTAGTCCAGTTCCCCAGAGAGCCTCTGCACACCGCTGAAACACACCACCCCGTAGGAGAGCACAGAGATGCCTTCCAGTTGCTGGGCATGGCAGGGCACCAGAAGTGCAAAGGGAAGCTCTGTCAAGGAAGAGCTCAGGGTATGTCTGATTCTGGGATTGCACAAGATGTCTCCATTCCCACAGGAGAATTACTGAGTTGCTTCTGTTTGCCCCTACATTTCCTCACCTGCCACCTCCTGAGGGCAGCAGAAAGGGACTTGTGCATCAGCTGCCATTCCCCAGCAGTCTGGCATCTTTGCTCACGCTGCCACCACCAGTGGATTTGTAGTTGCCAGACTGCCAACGACATCACTTGCAGCGCACATATGCACCCAGTTCTGCCCAGACTACTAGCAGGGCAGCAACCTCTGGCCCTGGGGAAGGAAGACAGGGCAGCAGGAAATGTGAAACCACAGTCCTACAAAGCTGTAGGTTACAGAGAAGACACTGCACAGGATTTGATCAGGTAAAAAGCATTATGGAGTTCAGGATTCTGGTTACACATTCATCCCCAAAAGAGGGCCAGGCTGCAGCACTGGAAGTGACAAGTACTGAGTCACTTCCCATCCTAGATTTCACCCATGTAGTTAATGGTTCACCTGAAGTTGAACAGCATGGAATAACCATGGGTACAAAACAGCCCCATCCTTACTGCTCTTCCTCCATCTCCCTTCATCCCAGTGGAAGAGGAGCTGGGGCCACCTTCAACCCAGTCTTGCCACCTTGCCTTCTGCCACTCCTTCCTCTGCTGGTTCTCCTCTCTAATTAGTCCTCCATCAGAGGTGGCCTCCCCCCAAACACACACCTCAGCCCACGGTGCCCTTACCTTTCTACTCTATTTATGCATAATATCCTTAGTGTAGAAACCACATTCCCTTTACACCCCTTGTGCCTCGCTCCTATCTGATGTATTTAACAAGACCCACTGGATTCACTTGCCACACCCATCCCACCCTGCCTGTCATCCATCACTCCCACTTCTGTGCAGGACACCAGCCCTGCCACCTGCTCATTTGTTTTTTATTTTTGTGGTAAACTTTGTGCTTTGAAAACACCCTCCATACAACCACATAACCCTTCTCCAAATTTTCCTCCACTTGGCAAGAGTGGGAGCACTGCCTAATGCTAACCCACCCCTTCTCGGTATTCACGGTATTCGTGTTTTGTCCTCTTCCCTCTGCCTGTAACTGTCTACTGTCCCCACTCCTATACTAAATCTCTCAGCTGTGGGGCAAGCACTGCTGGTCTGTCCTGCCTGGGCAGGATGTCTAGCAAGTGTCTAGCTTGCTGGTATCGGCTGCAGGCTGGGACTAAAACTTTGGGTTCTGGAAAACAGAACTACCCAGCGTTCTGCTGCCCCCGGCCAGGAGCTGGCTGCAGCCCTCCACCGCCGGCTGTCCTGCAGTGCCCTCTACTGAGCCAGAGACACCTGCTCCTCCCGGGTCTCCATGCTGTTCCTTTCTGTAGGATACTTCTCCGTTGGTCCCTGCCCTAATTTGGCAGAACGACAAGGTCCGATTCTCTCCCCCGGTCCCAGCAGGCAGTGCCCAGGAAGAGCCATCTGCCATACAATGCGGCGTTTTGCCCTCCTGCTGTCCCCCAATTTCTGGATACAACGTTTTCACATCCAATTGTTCCCCGCACTCAGGGGCTGATAAAGCAGAAAAGGCAAATAGGCAAGGTCCAGCCTTTTGCACTTGAAAAGCCTCATCATGGAGACCTCCCTGCTCAGCTCATACCCCAGGCACAGCAGGCACAGCCACCACTCCCTGTGAGCAGTAGGATGAATTTAGGCATAGAGTGCTGCTTCCTCTGTACCTGTGAGCAATCGTCAAAACGGTTTTGTCAGCGAAGCGCTGGCGGATGGTCTGCTGCAGCAGCTGGTCTGTCTTCTGATCCACGCTGGCTGTGGCCTCATCAATGCACAGCACCTGCCAGGGACAGAAAGTGAAGGGAGCTCCCAAGCACCATGTCGGAGGACGCAATCCCTGCCCAGGGACTGCCTGAGAAGGTAACACAGGTTGTCTGTTCCCACTATATTCCAACTCTGGAGCATGACCATCAGCAGTTCACCCTCCCCCTCCCTCCGACGGAGGCAGGGCACTCACCTTGGCCCGCGTCAGGAGG